TTTTTTTTTTTTTAAATGCTCAAAATTGAAAGTGCATGCAAAATTGCAGCCTCCTGGAAGTGAATGGTAATTAAACTCTGAGAAGAAACAGAGAGAGTAAGTAAATTTTAAGATGAAGAAACTGAACCAAAGAAAATCAATTAAAAACCAGAGATGGAAGAGATGAGGACCTTACCTTTTACTTTTAGACTGAAACTTGAGCACTGGAAAGGAAGGACACAGAAGCTTGGAACAGAGGAGAGGCTGATCTGAGATGAATGGAAAAACGAAAGGAAATCGTCTCTTAATTTGTTAGGCTGTTTTTTTCTAAAAGGGGCAGAACATTGGATGTTTTTGCTTATTGACGAAGACCCAGTACTAGTGGCTCTAATTAATGATCCTGGAAAAGAGAAGACTCTGATTTGCCAATCTTTTCCTCTTTCCTTTCATTTATTTTCTTCGTCTCCCATTAATGAAATGAAATTATCTTTCATTGCAGGGTCCACCATGGTTTTATTTAAACGACCCATTTGCAGGGGAAGTGTCAAGTTTACTGGAAATTGACTGACTTTTTTTATTATTATTATTATTAGTATAATTGGGAGAGAGAAGATAAAATTCGTAAGGCATTTTATTATTATTATTATTATTATTATGGAGAATTATGAGAAAATAGAAAAATTTTTAAGTAATTAGTAAGAAATGAACTCTTAATCAATTGAATCTAATTATTAAGATTTAAAAATAAATCATCAAATTCAAAGGACTGCTATGTAAAATTTATAAGACTTAAGTATTAAATTTTTATATATTATTATATTTTTTAAAAAAGTAGCAGCCATTAGCTAGTGGCCGGCTGAAATTGACTGACTTAAGTATAACATGGTAAGGACTTCTGGAGGCCCCCATAATTTGCAGGAAAGCAAATACATGAGTTTAAGGGCTCGTTTGGTGGAGCTTCCCATCGGCTTAAGTTTCTTGATACTATTTATGTTTCATCACTTTAAATTTTTCTCTTAAAAATTTATATTTTTAAACTTTTTTTTACCCTTAAAAGATCTTTAAACAGTAAAATATCAAAAGTTTCAAATCCAAACTTCTCAAAAACTTTCTTTTTACTCACTTTTTCTTATATCCAAAAGTTACTTTTAAATTTTTCCTCCAATCAAAATTTAAACTTATCACCGTAAACAATGCAAAAAAAACTCCAACTCCAACAAGCTATATCAAACAGACTCTAAAGCACTTGGTAAAGTCCTTTCACCCACTTTTTCCGTTGAAATCATTACCCTAAAAAAGGGATAGGGAAACTATAACTCCCTCCCTCTATTTTTTTATAAATTTAATTTGATTTTTTTTAATTTTTAGACATAAATTTAAATAAA